TCTGTCCATGAGGACTTTGGCATTCTCGAGTGCAAGAAAGCTGTTTCGTCTTCGTCCTCTCAACAAAATGGTGCTTATTGCCTTTCCTCCGCATAAGGCGGGGTAGTATGAAGGAGGAGGGACAATTGGAAAGCAAAGTCAAAGTAGCAGCGGAGGCAGCCAGGGCTAAGACCTTTTTTGACTTCTTGGGACAAATATTGTGTTAAAGCAAAATTCGTAGCGAGCTTGTGTCTCATCGATTAGTATGGCAAACGGCTTTTATTACTTCCGCCAAAACCTAAGACAAGGTGAAGGAAGGTGCTTGCATTATGAAGCAAAGGATAGTGTCTTATTTGTTTTTGGGAGTGATTAGTTATTTTCCTCCGTTCTTCCCTTTTATCTAGTTCGTTCCCAATCAGTGAAAACACCAGCTCCCAAACGCAGTGGTCAGATCCCGCCACCTCCTCGACCATTGACTAAGCCAAAATTAATGGAGGAGCGCAAATCTCGTCAACAAACCTCCCCAACGACATCATCTTTTGACAGTGCCACTGCGATCAATGCCCAGACCACATCATCAGCACCAACCTCAAATTTGCGACAAGATGTCTTTCGTGTCACACTTTATGTCTTCCACTCCAGTCTTCTTCTCGTCTCTTATCTGGCATGGACCGCCTTCTTCATCCTCCTCTTGCCTGCTTTCTGCATCTCCTATTGTATTCGGCAATTTGGCCTCCTTCTTGCCCAACATAGACGGAGCAGTCTGGTGGAAACACTTTCTTCCCTCTCCCTTCATTACCTCCACGGAGAAGATGCGGGAAGGACTACCGTCGTATTGATCTATCTTGGCAGTCCAGGAATCAAAATAGCAGCTCTAAAGCGCCTCCTTGTTCAACGTATATTCTCGACGACTCAAAAACGGACGTCAAATGGATCTCAGGGGATGGAAAAGTGGTTTTCAGAGCGGTTGCAACAAACAATTGTGCCCTTACCGACAGGCTATGCATGGCAAAGGTGAGTGGGCTCCAAGTTAGTTTCCTGTAGCTGCTTTCACAATGCACACAAATGCGACTGAAATGACCGTAAGGCGGGACCATAAATGTCTATCTGATGTTGCTTCTTCCCCGT